AAGCCAATGAAAACTCTTGAATTGCATTATCCAATGATCCATTTCTTAATGACAGAATTTATCCCATTCCAAGCTATCACTGAGAGAATGGGGTCATACCAAGGTATAGCCTTTTAGTTCTTTACACAAAGCCCTCAAAAATGTTCTAAATAGTCACAGAGGGTTTAACATTTCGGCCAATCAGGTGCAACAGCAGAACAAATCGGGACCTTTACAGCCACTGCCTGCTTTGCCCGATGACTGGGTAGATAAACGTTAAGGCTTTCACCTTCCACTACTCGAATTTCTTTTCAAAATATTAAAAGAGTAACGCAGCATTACAACCAGCTGGAGGACACGGTTTCAAATTCTCCCAATTACTGTAGTGGGTATTTCGGCNTCGTTTTATTTCCACACACGGCTAAACATCACAACAACATTAGTCCAAATTGTGAATCAGTTGGAATAAAAACGCCTTAATTAAGGAATCAAGTTAAGAAAGATAGAATTCCAAGTCAGATTCAGCTTCTTTAGTGCAAAGCTGTTTGCGAACCAGCTAGACACGTAAATGATATTTAAATAACAACTATCATTCCCACCAGGACGAAAAATAAGAGAAATTTTCCATAAGAATACAACGCCGTCGATACGGCTTGTTTTTTTTTTCTTTTTTTTTTTTTGGGGGGGGGGGGGGAGGGGGGGGGAAGGATAAAACTTCCATGATGGGATAGATATAAAGCTTTTTTGTAAGAAAGTTAAGGTTTTGGGTGTTGTACATGTATTGATTAATTGTATTCGATTCTTTTACTTAAGGGGTTTCATTTGGCTTTGTAAAACATCCTCCTAGACCCCTAGCAGCTGGTCAGCCCCTTGCAAGACATTTTTGGCAGTTTTATGTTTAGCCTGTAGAAATCGGTCTCATTAATCAGTGCTTGATGTAATGCATTAAAAGTAGTTTATGTAAACTGTGCGGTACTTACCAACAACCTCAATAGTGACGTACAAAACATTCAGCATCTCAAATTTTCTGACAAACATCCAGTCTTCAAACCAGGCTACTAATGGAACAAGGCATAGCACTCGGTTGGTCACCAGTGCACCTATAAAATAAATCAACACCAGACAGAGAGTTGTAAGGGATAGAGGTAAAGTGAGCAGCTGTACAGTACAATGGCAAGCTGATTGGTAAATAAGAGAGAGACCCTGGACTTAAGTATGTCTGTTGAAAAAACAGCATATATGCAAATGACATGCACTGTCCAGTTTTATGCACTATACATGTACAATGTATATGCACCTTCCTGTCTGAGCTNAACTGTCGTGAACTTTCTGAGCCTTCAGTGTAGTATTAATGCAAAACCAAAACAAAAGTGAATTACCTTCCACACCAACAATTGCAAAATATGTCCAATTAAAATGTAACAAGTGTATATGCAATTACGCCTAAGCAGGGTTTTGACTTAATTACTAAACAAACAATAGCCTCCATTGGGCCCCAAAATATGCAAGGGAATTTGTGTACAGACATTATCAGTTCTGAGAAGCAAAACGTTTCCTGAGAGCATAGGTCAAGGAGAGCTGTCAGCTTTGAGGAACAGAACATGTACTGTATTGTCCAAGGACAAATATCTGAGCACATGTTTGCACCACATGGAGGCTACCGTATTGTGTTCATTATCCTTCAAATATTTTTTGCAACATGGCAGTGTGGAAATTGGGGAATATCACTTGGATATTCCCCTGTTTTAGCTGGGGTACAATGTACATGTATATTTAGTCATGTGATTCATTTAGACCAATTGCATGTGAGAAAAATATTTGATGAATTACAAGCATTGTCAGTATTAGGAGTAGCATTATTTTCTCCAATACACTGTACTGGTGTACAATATACTTCAACACATTACAGAAAATAATATATCCCCCCCCCTAAAAAAAAGTGACAATACATTACCTGTATACATGTATGTGTTGAATAATATAAGAGATCAAAAAAATAATTGTTTTTTAAAAACAACACTCACCAACTTCCTTGTACATGTAATCTACAATAACAGCCGCCAGCCAACCAGAAATTATTGTGAGAAATATTATGGAGAGAACTGCTGCACCATCACTCCAGTTTATCTTAAAGAAAGTACATGTGAAACAATGTTATTTGAACTTGCATCTACTCATAAACGTTAATACAGTGGTTCCATTGTTGAAGATAAAAAAGCCCAACATATTATAATAAAAGAAGTACAAGATCTGTCATAAAAGATAAAGATGTATACCATGCCATAGAAACTACAGCCAATCAGAATATAGGAAAGCCGCTGTACTTTGAATGGCATTACACCCAAACTTCCAATCATGCGCTGCATGCGCCACGCGTATGTCGCATTGATTGCGTTGGCCACTGTATTTTCTATGGCATGGTATACGTGTAAAACAGTTATGCAATGTTCCGTCCTGGTTTGGGCTTGTGTGTGTACCAAGAAACTGCAGGTGACTCGTGGAATATCCCATGGTATACCAATAGAAAGCATTGCATAACTAGCATGTGTACATGTTACCAAACTAGTGAGGGATCCATATTGGAGTAGCATTGCTTAAAGTCTTAATTTCAAGGTTATCGACTGACCTGCTGGCAACAACCTTCAACTTGCAAAACACAGTAAGAGATCAATGTTCCCCAGTATGGACTGAACAAGGTACTTCAATAAAATACAGCACTGCACACCACAGTGCAAGTTAAACAAAACGACATTGGTGTTTTTCAGGCCACTTTCATGACAATGAAGTGAAATTGTCAGTTGAGCTTAAAGGAAAAATGATTTCTGTTTTCTTTTGTCCAATCTTCTGAAAAAAAGTAATTTGCGAGAATTACGTTCCTGAGAAAGCCACAAATTACAATTATTACCACATACACTGTACAACTGTACCTGATCAATTTCCTCAAATCGCTGCAGTATTAGAAACAGGAGAAGGGCAAAGCATCCACCAAATATATTGTTTCCAACACCACCACTGACATAATGAATGTTCCCTCGGTTAGAACGCCAAAATACTGTGAAGAAATGAAAACTCATTGATGCAACATTGGGTAAAGCTAGGTAATAATGAAACTTTAGATCAAATATTATTTTACATGAATTAAATCTAAACTTACATGTAGAGGGCTATGCAATAAAGTTTCACTCAGCATGAATGGATTCAAGGAAAAACCATATTTTCAATCATTAAGTATCATATAATATCGTCATGATGTTTTTAAGTGCCCACAGGGTGATCTTTTATACTTTCTTCACTTGAATCTACACATCGTTCAAAGGATGATCAGATGCAGATGCTTATACATGTACAGGGTAGGCAGGAAAAACATGTGTGACAAGCCTCAAGACCATCTTTGTCATATGAAGGAGGCTGCTGTGGACTATGGTAACTTACTTGAACTAATAGACCACATCAACGATCCACCAATGAGAGCCAGCAAAGCTGTTGCTAGCTCTGTAGCTGTGAACGGAGTACAATATTGTTTCCTTACAGTGGCATCTGTTACATTAGTAGTGTTCATAATTCTTTTGCTGACTTCCATCACTGAAGTTTCATTTGTATCAGGTGTTGGTACATCTTTATAACCACAGTGACCCTCACTTTCTGCTGCTAAGCCAATGCCTGAAACAGAGACAAGGATGATACCCACACAGCCAACAGCAATTGCAGCAAACTTGCTTGTGGGTACTGGATAACCAGTCTGTAGGACGAAAAAAAGCAGGCGTCAACTACAAGCCCAGGCTGTGCTCTAGAAGTGCCTGGGTGCCACAGGCAATTAACTTTTTGGGGGGCGACTGGGAAAACTTACTTTTTCATATAAGCTTGGGTGCTGGGCACTCAGGATTTCATGGTTAGAAACCTTTGGGCTCCTTACAATATATCTCAGACTACTGAGCCTTGAAGCCATTAAGTTACAGTGTATGTTAAAAGTTTTTGTTGAATCATGAGCAACTCAGAACCGTCAGTGGAACCTCTCCTTACGACCATGCTAGCTAATAATATGAACACTAAGGCTGGGTTGTTCAAAGCCTGATTAAACTAACCCAGGATTAGCGAGAATTTTGATTTCAGTTTTGCAACTTTTCGGTTCAGTTTTCTGTTTAGGTTGTTTGTCTTTCAGTTTTGAGTTTGATTCATCTTAAACTACACAACCAGAAAGATATTTCTATACAAAAAAATATATTACTTCTTTTAACTTTAAATCCTGGGTTAGCGCTAACCGGCTTTTGAACAACCTGGGCCAGGTTATTAACACCCATTTTAACCTCTATGATACCGCTACAAGTTACAGACAAAACTAAAAGGTGGTTGCATTGAAAGGGTTTTACTGTATAGATAGTGATATAATTTGTGTGGTCCTATTCTAGGACAGGGGTGAATAGGGGTATGCAAATCTGCTGATCTGTGCCTTTTTTTCGCCAAATCTGTCGATCCGGCAATATTTTTGTTCAAATCAGAAACCACAACCACATCTGGAAACAGAAGTGTAATAGTTCAAAAGTTAACTGGTAAATGTGAATGCCATTGTTTGTGTCTCACAAATAGTAAAGAAGGCAACATGCTTGATGACTATAACACAGTACAATTCCACTAACAGTTTAAATGAGCTTCATTCGAAAACAAAAATAATTTGGATGAACTCATTAACATACCGACCAAGGCTGAAGAAAGATCTATGATCCAAATTTCGTTTAGGACCCAAGATCCGAACTTGAGGAAAGGCGCGATCCGGAATCCGCGCCAAAATTCATAGCTGATCCACGATCCACTGTGTTTTCAAAATCTGTGAATCCGTTCGATTTACTGCAAAAATCCACGATCCATACGCTTTTTAAGGCCAAATCTGTCGATCCGAAAACCTATTCACCCCCTTCTTCTAGGTTATTTTACTCCAAATGGGAAGATGTTAGTTTGTGTTGAGAACTGGATGAGTTCTCATAATCAATCACTAGAAACAATTTTGATTGGTCAGTGCAAAATGTGGACCGGGGACTGCAGACTGCGGACTACAGACCAAGGATAAAATGCTGACTGAGGGTAAAATGAAGACTGCACTGAGATGAAGGGTAAAAATGCAGACAGACCACAGTGTATCTACATTTCAAACTGCATTGTGTTACCATTTCCATCATTGAGAGCTAACCATAAACAGGCTAACCCGAGCATTATTGGGGTTAACCTGAGTGATGTTCAGGCTTACAGGAGTGATGTTCAGGCCAACTAGAACGCTATTCAGTAGTCCCAGTTATTTCAACTTCCGGTTTTTGTAACAAAAGTGACAGCTTAATATTGACAATATTACATCGTCAGCAAGGATTCAAACTGTATCAACAGCCTACCAAAACAGAAAAAAAAGTGACAAACTACTCACCCTAAGAAAAGGCAATCGCTCTAACAAAATAGACAGCCATGGAGCGGCCGCCATGAATACACCACCGGTTGAAGGATTTAACACTTTCAGTCCATACATAAATAACATGTATGGAGCAGCAAGCTGTACAAAACCCATCACAGCAAACCTCCAGTAATTTTTTGCAGTTCTGAAGTTGTTGCGGAATATTTCCTTGCCTTCGCTGTCTCTACTAGAAAGGAAAACCATAAAAACAAAATACAGTGCCACAGTCCCTGGTGTTCGAAGAAGAAATACGAGGCTCGGTGATTTGTAAGAATGAACCGCAAAGTGAATCGCCACAGAGAAAGTTCCTCTGATTATTCCGAGGAAAATGAATGCTGAAAGACTTCCTGTGGTAAAATATCCTCTTGGAGCCATATTTTTAAACAGCTGAAAGACCTGTTAAGTGGTGTACGTTTTCGTCAATTTACTCTTTTGGTTGTTCTGCTTACTGAGCAGTTTCAACTTCTCATCTAAACGGCTCGCAAGGCCTCATGGACCTTACAAGTGTACTCATTCCCAGTTTCTTTTGCTATTGCTCGTTCTCGTCCCCTTTGCACAGTTCTGGTCAACAGCAAGATCCAAACATAAAGTTTTCGCCCGTCAAAAAAAACTCTGACATACACTGTACTTCTGAATGTGTAGTAACTATTTTAACGAATCCCTCACGGACCATGGTAATATGGAACGAGGCGCAATGCGTTGCATGCTGTTATCATATGCACTTTTCTGTTTCTTTAGCTTGGCAAGAGCCCGCCATTATCTGAACATGACTGTAAACAAATTAATCCTGTCCCAAATACTCAGCTTGTATCATCAAAAGGAGACATTGCAACATTTTTAAGATGACTTCAGCAACACAACGCACACTATTTGACCTATTTGCCTCCCGAAAATAATTGTGGAACAGGGGCGGATCTACAGGGAGGGTACAGGGGGTGAGCACCCCCCTGAGATGAAGCCCTCTTCTTCATGTTAGCCCGTATTTATTTCCAAAATTTGTTTACCACACCATTCAGTTACGCTATTCCTTAGTGCT